CGGGCCACTCGCACACGTATGGTCTCAAACCCAAATGGAGCGCATTCTTGTGTTTTATGAGATAACGCATGGCTTTATACTTGGCCTCACATCCGGGCCAATCGCACGCCAACAGCCGTCTCGGGTGGACAGTGAACTGATGCCTATAGACACTCCACGGGGACTGACACTTGCGCCCACATTTCGGGTAATTGCAAACATACCCATCGGTGCCATCGACGCCATCGTAGTGGGCGTTATAGTGAGTGTAAAACACTTGTCTCTCACCCGTTGTGAACGTACAGTCAATATAAGGGCAGTCAAAAGTGCCGTCATTTGTCACCTCATTCCTCATGCGATACCTCCCGGTCTGCTCATCGATATAGACCGGGTCACGCCATTTGAGCAGCAGTTGGTGTTTCTTGTAATGAGTGGAAAATTGTTTTAAATATGTGGTCACATAATCGCAGTCCTCTTCATTGCACACGTATTTGTCATTCACTTTGAATTCATTCATTAAATTCTCAAACTTCTGCCGCTTTTCTGCCTCCACTTTACCGCTTAGTTGGTCTTCATTGGCGTCGTTTAGACCACTAGATTTGTGTCCAATCATATGACTGTATATTTGGCGTTTGACACCAGTCTTGTAATCACATCCCATTTGGTCACAGATATAGTGATCATCTTTTCTTAAATGTAAAACTAAAGCATCGATTCGTTTCTGTCGGGCACTAGTGGTTCGATCGCCAGAACCGGGCTTATGGTCCGGAGTTTTGCCAGTTTTGTGTCCAATCATATGCTGATACATCTCACGCTTTGCAACTGTTTTGTAATCACAGTCCGGGTGATCGCAAACAAACTCATTGTCCACTTTCAAGTGTAGGACAGTTTCATCGATCCTTTTCGATCGCTCCGACACTTCCCGATCACCAGATTTGTGTCGATTTATATGGAAATACATTTGGTATTTATTTTTAATCTTGAAATCACATCCCATCTCATCACAGATGTACTCATTATCTACTTTTAAATGCGAAACCATTTCATCAATTCGTTTGCGTTTTTCGAGTTTGTCTTTAAGTCTTTGTTCGTCGATAGAATTCAACTCACGAGCACTTGAATTGTGTCTATTCTTATGGCTAGACATCAGGCGTTTGATAGTTGTCTTGAAATCACATCCCATCTCATCGCAGACGTACTGATTCTCTATCTTTAAGTGCGAAACCGAATCATTGAATAGATTCTGCCTTTTACTGGAAGAATGTCCACCAGTTTTATGTCTAATCATATGGCTATATATCTCGCGTTTAACACCAGTCTTGTAAACGCATCCCATTTGGTCACAGATGAACTGATTATCTACTTTTAAGTGCAAAACCAATGCATCGATGACTTTCTGTCGCTCACTCTTTTCCGATTCACTAATCACTTGAGAAACCTTTGCTTTCCTTTTCCTACTCTTCCGCTTCTTCTTCACCTCAAAGTCGCTGTCATTCGAGTCCTCATCCAAGAAGTGGTTACTCTTTACGGAGACATTGTCATCGATGTCGTAGTCATTGATGGCATTGAATGGACTCTCACTCTGATCATCAGATTTATGACTAATTATATGACTGTATATTTGGCGTTTGACACCAGTCTTGTAATCACATCCCAGTTGGTCACAGATGTACTGATTGTCATGTTTTAAGGACAAAACCAATGAATCAATTTTAATCTGTCGCTCACTCTTCACGGATTCGTTCATCACTTTAGAAGTCTTTGCTTTCCTTTTCCTACTCTTCTGCTTCTTCTTCACTTCAAAGTCGCTGTCATTAGTGTCCTCTTCTAAGAAGTGGTCACTCTTTACAGAAACATCACTCCGATTGTCGTCGATATCATTGATGTCTTCGGCATTGAATGGACTCTCACTTTCATAATCACTGTATTGTTTGTCATCCAAATCGATGGCAACTCTTTTAATATCACTATTTATGGCATCCATTGGTTCACTACTTATGCTCTCATTGACAGCAACTGAAGGATCCGTTTTGATATGATTTGTGACACTATTATCATAGAAAACAACTGAAGTATGTCTTTCAATACCAGTTGTTTCACTATTTTCTATGTTATCATTAAATGGTATCTCTTTGTGACCAACATTTCCATCGGTTGTCATCGTTTGTGTGGACTTGTCTTCAACCGATCTCTTCGTTTGTGTCAATCGCTTCCAATCACTCATCAGTTCCACAATCTTGTCGTCCTTATAGTGTGACTCATCCCTGGCCTCCAAAGTCTTTAAATTTGATTTCTCTCTATCGATGACTTCCTCTTCCCTTTTGATGCGATCAATCATAACAATAATGTCTTTGTCTTTGGGATCCAATCTACACGTCTCGATGATAGCCACGAGAGTGTCATTACATGCCATCACATGACTTGAGATCAGTTTCGATGTCTTCAGCTGTTGTCTCAAACTCGTCAACTCGTGTCTCATTGAAAGCATCTCTCGCTGACAGTCGACCCAAATGTCGGTCAACCGGATGTCCAACGGCTTCATCACGAGTGAAGACATGGAGTGATGACTTGATCCACACTTTAAGACATTTAACAAAACCAGAGATTTAATGGACTTTTAAATCACAACACATTTGTCAACAAAACTCTCATCCAATCATTGACTCCAATGTTTGGCACACTTTTGGCGCTCACTTCAAAACAAACTGTAAGAATATTACAGAATATTCTTTGACTCAATTTATTAATAAAATATTACAATCATGACAAAACATATTGGTTTTATTTAAATTAACATTATGTCACAATTGTGGAGATCATGATATGATACTTCATATTTAAACAATAATTACTTGCTGTAAATTTGTTCATATAAAAGCGTACAGAATATAATTTCCAACAAAATAATTAAATAAATTATACCGGTACTAATATCATATTAGTAATATGTAATAAACTTATTAATCTTAATTTTAGTGATTTAATGTAAATACTAATGTATTGTTTAAATTTATACCGGTAAAAATATATCTAGAGATACAGAATAATAAATATTTTACAAATTCATCAAAAATTTCATGTTATCAACATTTTATCGGTTGGTATAATAAATCCCGTAATAATGAAAATTTTATTTGAATAAAAAAAATAATAATCACGAAAACTAATTATATTCAATAAATACATCTCTTTTATACACTTTTCCTCAGAATTTGTTTGTTGTGTTGCTTCCGATGTGAATGAATGCCGGCCAACGACGAGAACCTTTTGCCGCAGCCTTTCTCGGGACACACGTATGGCTTCTCTCCCGTGTGTTTGCGTTTATGGGATATGAGAGTACACGGCTGAGTGCACCTATACGTACAGCCAGGCCTACAAAACAAATTACACACATATTCATTATAAACACTCGCCATAAATCCAACACTTTATGTCATACCAGTTGCAGGCGTACGGCTTCTCCCCCGTATGGGTGCGCTTGTGGGCCACTAACGCCCACTTAATGCTGGCCCTGTACTCACATCCGGGCCAATCGCATACGTGAGTCTTTACCTTTGTATGAATACCCATTTTGTGGTGTTTAAGGTTCTCAGAAGTGGTGCCATTGTATGAACAGCCGGGCCATTCGCACTGGAAAAGTTTTAAACCCAAATGAATGGTATTCTTGTGTTGTATGAGATAACGCATGGCTTTAAACTGCGACTCACATCCGGGCCAATCGCACGACAATAGCCGCTTCGGGTGCACTCGGAGCTGATGCCTATACACGGCTAACGGGGTCACTAACTTGGCCTCACAATCCGGGTGATTGCAGACATAAATACTGTTACTATTAGTCCCCGTAGAGGGCTTGTAGTGTGACTTATAGTGAACGTAAAACACTTGTCTGTGTGTTGTCGTGAACTTACAGCCGAAGTAATAACACTCGTAATTGCCGTCAATAGTGGCCTCCGTTCGCAACTTATACATACCGGCGCTCTCATCCATGTAGATCGGGTTGCGCCCTTTGGCCCACATCTGGTGCCTCTTATAATGCTTATAGAATTTCGTCGCTTTTGTGCTCAAGAAGTCGCAGTCGTCTTCACTGCACACGTATTTGCCGTCCTCTAAGAACTCTCGCATCAAATTCTCGATGCGTTTGTTGTCTTCGGCCCTCTCTTTAGGCGTCCGTTCGTCCGGTATTTTCGCCTTAAAATCTTTGGGCCGAAACCCAGCACTCTTTTTGTGGCCAATTGTGTGCTGAAACATATTGCGCTTAAAAGTAGTCCTATAAGCGCATCCCATTTGGTCGCAGATGTAATGCTTATCTCGTTTTAGGTGCAAAACCAATGCATCGATTCGTTTCTGTTGTTCAGTGACACGTCTGTCACCAGATTTGGTAGAGTTGTGTCCAATCATATGCTTATAGATCTCACGTTTAATACAAGTCCTGAAGTGGCAGTCCATGTAATCGCACACAAACTCGTTGTCCGTTTTTAAGTGCAGAACCATTTCGTTAATTTGTTTCTGCAGTTCAAACACCTCCTCGTCGTCCTCTTCATCGCACAGATCCTGTCCATCAGATGCAACAGATTTGTGTCCATTCATATGGCGATAGATAACGCGTTTAATTGTTGTCTTGAAATCACATCCCATGTCATCACAGATGTACTCATTATTTACTTTTAAATGCGAAACCATTTCATTAATTCGTTTGCGTTTCTCGAGTTTGTCTTTAAGTCTCAGTTCGTCGAAGGGATTCAACTCATGAGCACTTGATTTGTGTCTATTCTTATGGCGACCGATATCTCGTTTAATGGTTGTCCTGTAATCACATCCCATCTCATCGCAGACGTACTCATTGTCTACCTTTAAGTGCAAAAACAAATCCTCTTTTCGTACCCTTTTCTCAATCAACGATTGATTACCAGTTTTGTGACCGTTTTTATGGCTAAACATATCGCGTTTAGTCGTTGTCTTGAAATCGCACTCAATTTCATCGCAAATGTAGTGATTGTCTTGTTTTAAGGGTAAAACCAATGCATCGATTCGTTTCTGTCTCTCACTCTTCTCCGGTTCGTTCATCACTTGAGTTGAGTCGTTGTCTTGAAATCGCACTCAATTTCATCGCAAATGTAGTGATTGTCTTGTTTTAAGGGTAAAACCAATGCATCGATTCGTTTCTGTCTCTCACTCTTCTCCGGTTCGTTCATCACTTGAGTTGTGTTCGTTTCTCGTCTCCGACTTTTGCTTCTATTCCTCTTCTTCTTAGGCTTAATGTCGGTGTCATTTGTGTCTTCATTCTTGACATCACCACACTTTACGGAGACAACACTTCTATTGTCATCGATGTTGTAGTCATTGATGTCTTCGGCATTGAATGGACTCTCACTTTCATAATCACTGTATTGTTTGTCATCCAAATCGATGGCAACTCTCTTAATATCACTATTTATGGCATCCAATGGTTCACCACTTGTGCTCTCAGTGACAGCAACTGAAGTCTGTCTTAAACTTTCATTTGAGACAATATTTTCTATGTTACCATCAAATGGTATCTCTTTGTGACCGATATTCCCATCGGTTGTCATCGTTTGTGTGGACTTGTCTTTAACTGATCTCTTCGTTTGTGTCAATCGCTTCCAATCGCTCATCAGTTCCACAATCTTGTCGTCATTGCAGTTATAGTGTGACTCATCCCTGGCCTCCAAAGTCTTTAAATTTGATTTCTCTCTATCGATGACTTCCTCTTCCCTTTTGATGCGATCGATCAAAACTATGATTTCTTTCGCCTTTGGATCCAATCGCGAGGTCTCGATGATGGCTACGAGCGTCTCATTGCAGACAATCAGATGACTTGAGATCAGTTTCGAAGTCTTCAACTGTTGTCTCAAACTCGTCAACTCGTGTCTCATTGAATGCATCTCTCGCTGACAGTCGACCCAAATGTCGGTCAACCGGATGTCCAACGGCTTCATCACGAGTGAAGACATGGAGTGATGACTTGATCCACACTTTAAGACATTTAACAAAACCAGAGATTTAATGGACTTTTAAATGACAACACATTTGTCAACAAAACTCTCATCCAATCAATGACTAACTTTTGGCGCTCATTTCAAAACTACAGAATATTCTGTTAGTTTTAATGCACAAAACTTTTTCAATAAATTAATACTAAAACAAATATACAACTTAAACCACTACAGCTATCAAATAATTAACTACATTTACATTCATTACTAAATTCAACTGTAATTCAGCGGTTAAAGTATCAAACATTACTAACCATTTCCACGAGTGATTTTAGGACATACCTGTGTTGCCAGCAGTGGCTTTGGTTGACACAAAACTTTTAAATAATTTATTCCCATAATAAAACATTTTAATTGTATGCAAAATACTATTTANCCATAATAAAACATTTTAATTGTATGCAAAATACTATTTAAATAAATCATAGAATTTACAACACATTAACAGTTAGTATTACGAAAGAGATGCGAAACAAATGCATCGATTTGTTGGTCATTATATAAATCTGAATGTCTTTCTCGCAAATGGTGTCTGAATTCAGTGAATAGATTAGTCTTATGATCGCAATGAGCGCACGGGTAGACGAATAGGCCGTTATGTTTCCTTGTCTTCAGTATATGTTTTCTCACGTTTTCCTGAGTATTGCAAACATAACTGCAAACAAAAAAAATCAAAATTATATATAAATCAACCAAAAGTTAACCACAAATGTCATGCAGACCTGCAATAGGGACAGCTGTATGGCTTAGCACCGGTATGCACTCTCATGTGTCGACTAAGGTTAGAGCTCAGGTGTGCTTTAAAATCACAGAATTTGCATTTAAATGGCTTATCGCCGGTGTGTTGTCTATAATGCCTGCGAAGTGCGGACACGGATCTCGTTTTGTAGACACACTGGTCGCAGAGCAACACCTTCTGGCTGTCATCACCCGGCGCCGAGTGAACCATCGAGTGCTCCGACAGCTCTCTCCTATTAACAAAAGCGCGTCGACATCCGGGAGCCTCGCATTTGAAAGGCCTGTCGGCCGCCGGCGTATGTCTTAACAGGTGAGCCGTCAGCACAAACTTCGAGTAAAACTCGGCGCCACAGACGTCGCACCGGACGGTCCTCTCACGGCTCGAGTCGTGTGTCTTCGCGTGATTTCTGAGCAATTTGTTGGACGCGAACCGCGCGCCACACGTCGTGCAGGACTTGTCTTTGACCGTCGAGTGAGTCTTCTCGTGGTTTCGGAGATAAACTAATTTCGAGAACTTTTTGTCGCATTGAATGCACTCATAGGGCGTCTCATTCAAGTGGCCGTTGATGTGGAGCCGCAGATCACGACATATATACGCCTTACGACAGACAGGGCACCGGTATTTGTCTTCACTCCGGCGTATGTGTCGTTTGGCTTTGAGATCGTTAGCCGATTGGAGCGCCGGCTTGTCATCCGACGGCACCGGCATCTCGTGGTTTACGGAGTGAAGCAAATGCGTCGACTGTCTGTCCGTCTTGAAGTCACAGGTCGGGCAACAATAGCCCGGATTATCGCCAATGAAATTACTTTTGATGAGATCGGGAAACGCCACGCGTCTCACGTGTTCGCTCAGTGTATGCCTCTTCAGGTGTGTCTTGAAACATTTATTATGGGAATAAATTATTTAAAAGTTTTGTGTCAACCAAAGCCACTGCTGGCAACACAGGTATGTCCTAAAATCACTCGTGGAAATGGTTAGTAATGTTTGATACTTTAACCGCTGAATTACAATTGGATTTAGTAATGAATGTAAATGTAGTTAATTATATGATAGCTGTAGTTTAAGTGTATATTTGTTTTAGCATTAATTTATTGAAAAAGTTTTGTGCATTAAAACTAACAGAATATTCTGTAGTTTTGAAATGAGCGCCAAAAGTGAGTCATTGATTGGATGAGAGTTTTGTTGACAATTGTGTTGTCATTTAAAAGTCCATTAAATCTCTGGTTTTGTTAAATGTCTTAAAGTGTGGATCAAGTCATCACTCCATGTCTTCACTCGTGATGAAGCCGCTGGACATCCGGTTGACCGACATTTGGGTCGACTGTCAGCGAGAGATGCTTTCAATGAGACACGAGTTGACGAGTTTGAGACAACAGCTGAAGACTTCGAAACTGATCTCAAGTCATCTGATTGTCTGCAATGAGACACTCGTAGCCATCATCGAGACCTCGCGATTGGATCCAAAGGCGAAAGAAATCATAGTTTTGATCGATCGCATCAAAAGAGAAGAGGAAGTCATCGATAGAGAGAAATCAAATTTAAAGACTTTGGAGGCCAGGGATGAGTCACACTATAAGGACCACAAGATTGTGGAACTGATGAGTGATTGGAAGCGATTGACACAAACGAAGAGATCAGTTAAAGACAAGTCCACACAAACGATGACAACCGATGGGAATATCGGTCACAAAGAGATACCATTTGATGGTAACATAGAAAATATTATCTCAAATGAAAGTTTAAGACAGACTTCAGTTGCTGTCACTGAGAGCACAAGTGGTGAGCCATTGGATGCCATAAATAGTGATATTAAAAGAGTTGCCATCGATTTGGATGACAAACAATACAGTGATTATGAAAGTGAGAGTCCATTCAATGCCGAAGACATCAATGACTACGACATCGATGACAATAGAAGTATTGTCTCCGTAAAGAGTGGTGATGTCAAGAATGAAGACACAAATGACACCGACATTAAGCCTAAGAAGAAGAGGAATAGAAGCAAAAGTCGGAGACGAAAAACAAACGCAACTCAAGTGATGAACGAACCGGAGAAGAGTGAGAGACAGAAACGAATCGATGCATTGGTTTTACCCTTAAAACAAGACAATCACTACATTTGCGATGAAATTGAGTGCGATTTCAAGACAACGAC